CCAGAGGCTCTTCTAGTAGAAGTCATTGTACATCCTTCTAATGCCCTTTCATATCTATGCCCTGGAGCTGGGCCATTTTAAACCTTTCTTTTTTTTATGGGGCTGAGAACTTTCCTATATTCAAGGCTCTCAGTTTTTTATTATGATCAATTACTTATCAAAAGCTGCCTGGTTGTACTGAGCCAAAAAAGAAAAAAATTTTCTCTGGGTGGAAATTCATTTTCTTGGATGATTCTGTGGAGTTGGAAACATTTACCTGAAGCTGACTTTTCTTCCCCCAGAGTTAACCTTGCCTCAGTTCTACAGCTTCCTGCATGAGATGGAGCGAGTCAGAACCAGCATGGAGTGTTTCAGCTGATTTCTGTCCCCCTGCATCTCCACCTTTGCCCTCCCCTGCTGCTTCCGCTTCTGTGGGTGACTGCTCTGAGAAGCACCTTGCTCACAGGCTGGTGGGGCACTGATTTGGCCCTCTTTGCTTCTTGGGAGCCCAGGTGCAAAGGCTTCTAAAAAAACAACAGGATTAAGTAAAGAGCCCTACACAATTGCTCTGTAAACTCTTTCTTAAGGGAACCTCCACCACCTATCACCCAGGACACTTGTTTGATATTCAAACAGGCTAGCATCTCAGATTCAGGGAGGAAATAAGTGAGTTCCCTCCCCATCCAAGTTCCAGAGTAAACAAATGGTGCCATCACTGAAGATACAGGCTGGTCATCTTGTATTTCTATTCTTTCTCCCTAAAAAAGCAAGGGCTTGTTTATAGCTGAGGAAGAGGCTGGCTCTGAAAATGACACGTTAGTAATCCCCAACAAGATTTCTACACATTGTGGTTTTGGTGATGGTGCACTGCTAATCAGTTTTTTGGTGTGTTTTTTTTCTTTATTGTTGGAAGTATTACATACGTTGCTAATCAGTTTTTAATAGGGCAACTATGTACAGACACATGTTTGGCCTACTCTGAAAAGAACGGAGGCTAGACTGTCTTCATTTCTGGTTTTGCCCTATTGTGTTGTAATGAAGCAGGCCTTTTTTGAGGCTGTTACAGCTTGTTTTGGTTCAAGCTGACCACCTTTGTTGGTTAGATGATTAATAAAAAAGGTTCCAAAGTAAAGGTCTGCATCCAGTTGTCTTTGTGTGTGGAGTAAAGAGTCCTCTGCCTTGCAGAGAGTTACTGCTCTGATCTTCAAAAATTACTTCCCTGGTTTTGGTGAAGGCCCTGGGTCTTCAGTGAAATTAGCTGTGGTTCAAGGTTGGAATTTGTAAGCAGTTCAGGGGAAACTCAGGTTAAAAACATGAAAAGCAGAGCCTATCACTACTTTATGTTGAGATGACCTTAGCTACCACTCTAGCATGTGACTTCCTCCTATCTCTCCTCAGAAATTTTAAAAAAAAATTGTGTTTAATTTTATTTATTGATTGATTTTTTATTTTATTTATTTATTAAGTATATTTTATTGATTTTTCACAGAGAGGAAGAGAGAGGGATAGAAAGTTAGAAACATCAATGAGAGAGAATCATCGATCAGATGCCTCCTGCACACTCCCTACTGGGGATGTGCCCGCAACCAGGGTACATGCTCCTGACCGGAATCGAACCCGGGACCCTTCAGTCTGCAGGCTAACACTCTATCCACTGAGCCAAACCGGTCTCGGCTTGATTGATTTTTTAAAAATATATATATTATTGATTTTTTACAGAGGAAAGAAGAGGGATAGAGAATTAAAAACATCGATGAGAGAGAAACATTGATCAGTTGCCTCCTACACACCCCCTACTGAGGATGTGCCCGCAACCAAGTAATGTGCCCTTTGACCAGAATCGACCCAGGACCTCTCAGTCTGCAGGATGACGCTCTATCCGCTGAGCCAAACTGGTTTCGGTGTTATTGATTGATTTTAGGAGAGAGAGGAACAATCAATTTATTGTTCTACTTATTCATGCATTAATTGGTTGATAACTTGTATGTGGCCTAACCAGGTATCGAACCCACAGCCTTGGCAGAGCAGAATGACACTAATCAACTGAGCTACCCCACCAGGCCAAATTTTTTTTAATAGATAATATATACCCATGTTTTAAGAGATACAGTGTAAAGTAATTCCTTCTTACCCTAATTTCCCAGTTACCTAGTTCCCCTCCCGAGCAGCAACTACTGTTATTAGTTTATTCTGTTTTTCTGTAGATGTCATGCATTTGCAGATATATATATATACATAGAAGTTTGACTCCCCCCCTCCCTATAAATGATAGTGTACTATACACATACCTTGCTTTTTTCCACTTAACTTGGAAATCATTCCACATCAGAACAGAGAAGCAGCCTCATTCCTTATAACAAATGTACCATGTTTCTTCAAATGAATGGTTTATTTAACCAGTTTTCTACTGATCGGTGTCTTAAGTTATTTCTATTCTTTTTCTCTTATAAGCAATGCTGCAACTGAATATTTTTATATATGTGTCATTTTGTATATATGGAAGTACATTTATAAGATAAATATATGAATGTGGAATTGCTGAGCCAAAGAATACATGCGCCTTTTTATTTTTATTTTTAGAGAGGAAGGGAATCGGGTGGGTGGGGTGGGTGGAGTGCGGGAGAGAGAGACAGCAATGTGAAAAACATCTATCAGTTGCCTCCTGCACTGGACCTGACCAGGGATTGAACTTAGAACCTAGACATGTGCCCTTACTGGGAATTGAACCTGCCATCTTTCCGTGTACAGGACAACACTCCAACCAACTGAGCCACATTGGCCTAAGCTAAATATGTGTTTATCAAAGAGTATTAAAAGGAGGAAAGCAAAAAGGTCTCCCTTCCTTGTTTCCCATTTACTGGGCTCCCCTTCTGCCCTCCAATAGTGACCCTGTATTAGTTTCTCAGGTGCCCTTCTCAGGGTTTTCCCCCACATATAAGCAGTAGGAATTTAAATTTTTACTCTTTTTTTGTTACTGTTTACACAGATGATTGTATACTATACATACTATTTTGTAAAATACTTTTTATTTTCTTTTATATATATATATTTTAATATATTTTATTGATTTTTTACAGAGAGGAAGAGAGAGGGATAGAGAGTTAGAAACATCGATGAGAGAGAATCATCGATCAGCTGCCTCTTGCACCCCCCCCACTAGGGATGTGCCCGCAACCAAGGTACATGCCCCCGACTGGAATCGAACCCAGGACCCTTCAGTCTGCAGGCTGACACTCTATCCACTGAGCCAAACCGGATTCAGCTGTAAAATACTTTTTTAAAAAACTGTTTTTATTGATTTCAGAGAGGAAGGGAGAGGGAGAGAGAGAGAGAGAGAAACATCAGTTATGGCCCAGCTAGCATGGCTCAGTGGTTGAGTGTCAACCTATGAACCAGGAGGTCATGGTTCAGTTTTTAGTCAGGGCACATGCCTGGGATGTGGGCTCAATCCCGGTGGGGGACATGCAGGATTCTCAGCTGATCAATGATTCTCTCTTACCACTGAAATTTCTATCTCTTTCCCTCTTCCTTTCCTCTCTCTGAAATCAATAAAAATGTGTAAAAAAAGGAAATATCAATGATGGAAGAGAATACTTGATCAGGTGCTTTCTGCACACCACTCACCGGGGATCAAACCCACAGCCTGAGCATGTGCCCTGATAGGGAATCAGTCTGGCATCCTTTTGATTTGTGGGTTGATGTTCAATCACTGAACCATACCAGCTGGGTTATTCACACTATTTTTAATATGTCTTAGAGATCTTTCCTTCAGTACTTAGAATCTGCACCCTTTTCTGTGATTGCAGCATATTCTCATAGTGAATGGGTCATAACTAGCACTTGCAATTTTGCTAAATAGAGACAGTATTAGGGTTCTCTAGAGAACAGAGCCAACAGGGGTGTGTGTGTGTGTGTGTTTGTGTGGAGAGAGAGATATTTATATTTTAATTTATTGATTTTTTTTATTTTTAAAAATATATTTTATTGATTTTTTACAGAGAGGAAGGGAGAGGGATAGAAAGCCAGAAACATCAATGAGAGAGAGGAACATCTGATCAGCTGCCTCCTGCACAGCCCCGACTAGGGATGTGCCTGCAACCAAGGTACATGCCCTTGATCGGAATCGAACCCAGGACCCTTCAGTCTGTAGGCCGATGCTCTATCCACTGAGCCAAACCGGTTTTGGCTATTGATTGATTTTAGAGAGGAGAGAGAGAGAGAGAGAGAAACATCAATCTGTTGAGAGAGCCATCCATCTGTGGTTCCACATATTTATGCATTCATTCGTTGAGTCTTTTTGTTTTGTTAATCCAAGGAAATATCCTCTCCGTTGATTTTTAGAGAGAGTGGAAGGAAGGGGGAAAGACACAGAGTAAGAAACATTGAGCTGAGACCGGTTTGGCTCAATGGATAGAGCGTCGGCTTGGGGACTGAAGGGACCCGGGTTCGATTCCGGTCAAGGGCATGTACCTTGGTTGCGGGCACATCCCCAGTAGGGGATGTGCAAGAGGCAGCTGATCGATGACTGTCTCTCATCTGACTCTCTCTCATCGATGTTTCTAACTCTCTATCTCTCTACCTTCCTCTATGTACAAAATCAATAAAATATATTTTAAATAAATAAGAAACATTGATGTAAGAGAGACACATCAATTGGTTGCCTCCTCCACCCACCCTTACCAGGGCTGGGGATGGAGCCTGCAACTGAGCTTTGTGCCCTTGCCCGGAATCAAACCCAGGACCCTTCATTTGCAGGCCAATGCTCTATGCCACATGTGTCAAACACAAGGCCCGCGGGCCAAATCCGTCCCGCCAGGCCTTGCAATGTGGCCCGCACCGCACTGTCATCACTGCACTCCGCTGCATTTCCATCACAATGACAGTTTATGACTGTTCAGTAAACCATTCGGCCCGCAATTTAGCTGGATTTTAGATTTTGGCCCCTTCTCTGATTGAGTTCGACACCCCTACCTATGCTCTATCCACTGAGCCAAACTAACTATGGCTCATTGGTTGATTATAAGTGCCCTCACCTGGGATGGAACCCACAACATTGGTGCATTAGGATGACACTCCAACAACTGAGCTGCCTGGCCAGTGCAAGGGTTATTTATTTTAAAGTATTGGTTCACATGCTTTTGGAGGCTTCAGAAGTCCAAAATCTGCAGGGAAGGCTGGCCAACTAAAGACCCAGGGAAAAGTTACAGATCCAATCCAAAGCAGTCATCTGGCAGAATTCCTTCTTGCTGGGGAAGAAAGAAGAGGAGAGTTAGTATTTGTTTTAGTAAGACCTTCAACTGATTAGAGGAGGCCCACCCACACTATGGAGCGGAATTTGCTTTGCTCTGATTGAAAAGTCCACCAATTTAAATGTTAATTTCATTCACAAAGTACCAGGACTGACCTGCAGATCCTGAGCTCTGGATGAATGGATTACTCTGATACATGTTTCTGTGAAAGAGAAGGCTAAGGGACTGCTTCGCCATAACAACCAAAACAACTCCATTTGCCTACCTCCTTAGACTTTTATTGTAACAACAGTTTGAACTAGTATTAACTATTACATACTATCAGAAGAGTAAGCATCCTTGAGAAAACAAATGTATCTGTACTGTCTTTAAAACAAGGACATTTTAAAGTCTAAATATAAAGATTCTAGTGAAACACTCAAGGGCTTAGACTTGTTTGGAAAAGTCAAGGCAGGGTCTGCCGCCTTTGGCAAGATTCACCTAGAGGCCCCTGACCTTTTGGAGATTCCTCCTTAACAGACTTTCCAACCAGTCCAATGCTTCCCCACAACAGGGCACTTTCATCCAGAATAACAATTGACCAAACATCTTGGTATAGTAGCCTGCCCAAGTTAATACACAGAATTAACCATCACAGTGCCAAACTGACTTCTACAGAGATTATTCCAATTTATGTAAGATTCCTGTCCACAAGTACCAAAGAAGAACAAATTGGTGTCTTTAGAAAGAGTATCCCAAGAATGCCCATGAGGGTTCTGAGGGTCTCATGTACCTGAGATCACTAGTACCTACTGTAAAAAGAATTCATAGAATGTCAGGACAGGAAGGCATCTAAAATACAATCTATTATAGTTAAATTCACTCATAGACTAGAGGCCAGATACCAAGAAATTTGTGCCAATATTGGCCTTCCTCCCCTGGCTGCCAGCACCAGCTTCCCTTTGCAGCCCTGGCTTTGTCTGGAAGGTTGTCAGGAAGGATGGCTGGTCTGTTTAGCATATTATGCTTTTATTATTATAGATGGGGAACCGTAATGCGGTCGCTGGCCAATGCTCAGTGTGCCCATGACCTGTGGGGGCCTGCTTGGTTCGGAAATGGGAGCCTGAGTGCCCTGGCGGGGACTCAGCCTGGCAAACATCCGGCTCCCATCAGGGTTCTCTGTAAGAGCTGCACCTAGTTGGCCACTGGACAGATTCTGACCAAGGAGCTCCTTGTGCTGCTCAGTTCAGGTTCTCCCGCCCCATCTGCCTTCCCCTGCTCTTCAGTCTTCAGCCTCATAGCCTCTACAAGCTGGCTTACTTCCTGTATGAGCATTCTTACGAAAAAATTGCATGTCAGCTGTCATTCAAACGCTCATGACTGCGTTATGTCCAGGGTAAAATCCAAACTCAGTACACCAAGTCCCACTGTGTGGCCCTGCCTATATCTTCAACCACTGCCATTTCCACTGCCTCCTGACAGATGTCCTGTGCTAGAATATCCAGCCTACCAGATGCTGACAACCAGCATACCATGAAGCCATATGCCTCTTCTTCCCTTGGGCCTACCGTGCTTCCCCACACTTCAAGTGTCCAGGGCACTTCTGAGGCCCACCTGATAGTTTCTCGGGTCTCCTCCAGACCTCTGCTGCATGGAGGCTCTAGAGTCAGACTGCTTGGGTTCCAATTCTGGGCCTTGTGCTACCACCAACCGTGTGACCTTGGGCAAACTCCTAACCTCTCAAAACTTGTCTCCCCATTTTAAAACCAGGTATAGTTTTTGTCTTACATGGTTATTAGGCAGCTGTTCAATCAAGACTGAACTATCATCATCAGATTTTTGTAATTCTTTTTCTTCAAGATTCTTTTTTCCACAGCTCAAGAACCCTAACTCTTGGTGTCAGTCAGTTCCACTCCTCCCCATCCCCACCTGGTAATAGACCTTATTGTTGAAATGAAATGAGGCCATGGGTAGACTATTGTAACATCAGCTTAAACTAGTATTAACTATTAAATACTATCAGAAGGGTAAGCATCCTTGAGAAAACAAATGTACCTCATTTAATAGTCCATAGCAGGACTATTAACAAACCTGCGTGGCTTTAAAAGAGTAAGTCTAGGGAAGTTGGTTTGATGGTTGCTCTGTTTTAACGTAGATCATAGATGAGTCTTTAGTGTAAGGCAGCCAGGCTGGGCACCCATCTTCCAAAGGACACCTTCCAAGAGCAATGGGACACCTGCTACCTGACTCAGACATTCTTGGAGCACCTACTTTGGGCAGGGCTCTATTGGGCCCTGGGAGAAGGGTGATAAGCTGAGGACAGAGATAACCAACAGTTTGATTTTTATCAAGAGGAGATTATATACTTACTCCCATTTGCTATATATTGTAGTTCAGATCCCATTGTGAACTCCGGGAACTATTCCAGCCCCTTTGTTGTATCGGAATGTTGTCAGTAATAACCTATTGAATAAGGAGTAAATGATCAGGGCCCGAGAGTGTTAGTGATTTTGCTGCAATTCTGGGGGGTTTGAGGTAGGTTCCTTCTTTCCGTTAAATGGATGCATGTTGTCTTTGCATCAGTTCACTCTTGCTACTCTTCTGCTTAGAAATCTTCTGGCTGTTAACCTGGTCTTTGGCTGGAGGTTATTATTTTATATTTCACTTACCTTTGGAGCATAGTGTCCTTAAGATGGCAGTGGTCAGGCCAAGAGAGGATATTCTCTCCCTGGAGGAAAAAGGACTGTCTGGCTGGGGTTGGGGAAAACGTTCAGTTCTGATACTGTTGTTTCTATTTACTCGGGTGATTATTTTTAAATGTAGGTTATGACAAGGAAATTCTAATAGTCCAAATGGCCAGCTGATCCCAAGGGGGACCTAATACATGAGCATTTGCTGGACTGTAGAAATGGAATTTTCAAACACAGATAACCCAACAACAAATACCTTCCTAAGCATATTTGGTCTCTTTTGGATTGTATTTATTTATTTTTTTGTAAATACCTCACACCAGGTCTGTGCAGCACTGGAAAGAGCAGTGACTTGTGAGCCATACTCTGTACTCATAATTTTCTTTCTTTTTTTAAAAATATATTTTTATTGACTAGAGAGGAAGGGAGAGGGAAAGATAGAAACATCAATGATGAGAGACAATCACTGATCGGCTGCTTCCTACACCCCCCTTCTGGGGATCGTGCCCACAACCCGGGCATGTACCCCTGACTGGTATCGAACCTGGGACCCTTCAGTCTGCAGGCTGAGGCTCTCTATCCATGGAATCAAACCAGCTAGAGCTGAATTGTATTTATTTTCGCAAATGTCATATTTCATAGAGGTATTTCAGAATTTCTGTGAAAAGTGCTTCTGATAATTTACCTTGTATTTGGGCAGCACTATATTTTTATGGAAAGCCATGTTTATAAGGCATATTTTACATAGAGCAAAATTCACCCTTTTTAAGTATACAGTTCGATGAGTTTTGATAAATTAGTAGTTATATACTACCACCACATTTATATATATATAATATAATATGGAGTGTCCCTGCAGGAGTTCCACCAGGAGATTGGGAGTGCTATCAATTGCTATGATGTCCACTGACCACCAGGGGGTACACGAAGGAAGGCCCAGCTGGCAGCTAGAAGGCCCCAATTGGCCCTGATTGCCAGCCAGGCCTAGGGACCCTGCCCATGCATTAATTTCTTGCACTGGGCCTCTAGTCAAGATATAAAATATCTGTTTTAACCAGTTTGACTCAGTGGCTAGAGCATCAGCCTGCAGACTGAAGGGTCCCAGGTTTGATTCCGGTCAAGGCCATGTATCTTGGTTGTGGGCACATCCCCAGTAGGGGGTGTGCAGGAGGCAGCTGATTGATGTTTCTAACTCTATTCCTCTCCCAGCCTCTCTGTAAAAAAATAAAAAATATATATTTTAAAAGATATAAAATATCCAGCACTCCAAAAAAGACCCCTCATATGACTTTAAAGTTAGCCCCTTCCCCCTCGTCCCCAGTCATAGCAACCACTGACATGATTTCTAGTCCCACAATTGGCCTTTTTAGAATGTTGTATAAATGGAATAATTCATCATGTAGTATTGTGTGCTTAGCTTCTGCTACAAAGTATATTGTTTTTTTGTGTGTGTTTTTTTCCTTAATCCTCACCTGAGGAGATGTTTATTGATTTTTAGAGAGAGAGTAGGGGCTTGGAGAGAGAAAGAGGAATATCAATGTGAGAGAGAAACATTGATCAATTGCCCCAATTGGGAATCAAACCATGACCTTTCAATGTCTGGGACATTCCAACCAACTGAGCCACACTGGCCAGGGCAGCATAATGTTTTTTAGATCCATCTATGTTATTGACATATCAGTAGTTTGTGTTTGTTTTTCCTTTTTAAGCCTGGCTTGTATTTCATAGAATAGCTACATCCCAGTTTTGTTTTTTTGTTTATTTACCTGGGTTGTTTGAAGATTATGAATAAAAAACAACTAGTTTCTGGCATTTGTTTCATCATATACATAATTTTTTTCCAAATATGTTTTTATTGATTTTGGAGAGGGAGAAAGAGAGAGGTGGGGAAGGAGAGAGAAAAAAAGAAACTTCTATGTGAGTAGAAACATTGATTGGCTGCCTCCTGCATGCCCCCTACTAGGGATTGAGCCAACAAGCCAGGCATGTGCCTTGACCAGGAATCTAACCTGCAACATTTTGGTGCATGGTAGGATGCTCAACCAACTTAACCACACTGGCCAGTACATAATGGCCATGTACATAATATTGTTTGAAGATCAGAACCCACTGAGAGTTGGTGTCTGAGAAAAAGCACACATGGGGCGTTACACTTATGTGAGGTCACATGACAGTAATTGGAAAAGATAGTTTGTTTTTTTACTTAGATGTAATCCACATTCCATAAAATTCCAATTGGAAAGGTTTTAACAGAATTTACATAAATTCAGAAGTATTACAAAGTCAAACCCTCACTGAAACATCCCCAAGAATATTTTATTTCTCACCCTGTCTTAAAACAGGAGAAATCTTAAAATATCATCTCTTGATTCAATTGGGGCTCTTTTGAACCATGGGTAACCCTATAATGAATCAAATGCATTAGTCCGAAATAAACTAAAATTTATATTAGCAAACATAATATCAGGCAATGGAGGTTTAGTTATATATATATACTTTATGGTATAGGTATATAATGGAATAACTTGTAGCCATTGAAACTAATATTGAAGAAAACAGCATTAGGAAAAGGATCATGATCATAATGTGAGGCTAAGAAAACCAATAACAAGGTGAGCCTACTCTTGTAAAAAGAAATGTTTACATAGAAATAGCTAAATGGATAGAGTGGATATAAAGAAAAACATCGGTAGCTATTTCTGAGCCAAGGAATTACAGGTTTTTAATATTTTCTTTTGCTAATCAGTAGTTTCCAACTTGTTCAACATAAGCAAAAATCAGTGTGTTCTATAGAGATAATACCTGAAAGGTGCATAATAAAACATTCAAACTGAACTGAAAAAAAAAGATAAAAAGTTAAAACAGCCGAGATCGGTTTGGCTCAGTGGATAGAGCATTGATCTGTGGACTGAAAGGCCCCAGGTTCGATTCTGGTCAAGGGCATGTACATTGGTTTCGGGCACATCCCCGGCAGGGGGCGTGCAGGAGACAGCTGGTCGATGTTTCTCTCTCATCGATGTTTCTAGCTCTCTATCCCTCTTCCCTTCCTCTCTGTAAAACATCAATAAAACATATTAAAAAAAAAAAAAACAGTTGAAACAACTTTCTTCCCTGCCCCCTAAATTGCTAAGAACATCTATTATTTTTGTAAAAAAAAAAAAAAAAATTATTTTCCAAACAAAGCAACTGAACTTCTTCCATATCAACCACCTGAATGCCTTGTTTCTAGGGCTGATCTGGGCCCATACCTGGGAGTCCCACTTCTCAAGGTCCCTCTGGAACTAGCTCATTATAGTTTCTTTTCATTGTCTTGCCCATCTTGACAGTCAATACTAGGTACAGAAAAGCTTTAGACATATCACTACTTTAATAAAACCCAGAAGTGAGGAAAAGAGGCAGAGGAGAAAGAAAGAAAGGGAAAGGAAGGGGAGGGGAAGAGTCGATGGAAGGAAAGGAAAAAATAATAGGAGAGAGGGAAGGAGGGAGGGTAGGAAGAAAGAAGGGAGGAATAAGCTTTAATTCTTTCCTCTCCAGAACTTAGCTTCCTGCTAAGGTAGAATGAGTTGAGCTTTAAAGTCAGACTAGTTCAAACCTACCTCTTACCATCTGTGTTCACGAATGTGCTCATCCATTGAGAGTACTGGCCACCCGCTGTGTACCAGCTCCAGAGCTAAGCTATTTGTACCTTGAGGTTTGCTTCACTTTTCTGCACCTTTGAGGTTCATCTATAAAATGCAGAAAGTACTCACCTCACGGGATAATTGTGAAGATTGAATGATGTGGTCTCTGTAAGGCACCAAGCCCAGTGCCTACTTCAGAGTGGTACACCATCACCACTATCACCTATCTTTGGGTCATTAGTTTTAAACCACAGTATTTGGAGAAAAAGTAAAATGAAACATAATGAAATTTTCACCTCAGGATTAAATGAATGGCTAGACCAGTGGTTTTCAAAGTGTGGTCTCTACACTAAGCATGTCAAACTCAAAGGCTAGCAAGGTTTAAGTTTATGTGGACTGCAAAAAAACAAAAGCTTCAATTTTCATTAAAATGTAGGTTTGTTTAGATAGAGATAATGAATACAAAGAGCTGAAATATGTAATCATTAACAAAGACAGAACATTTTAATAAAAATTAATATTGTTCTTGAACATTAACTTACCAGACACTGAATAACTGACCAAATTAATAAGTGTAATGCAAATTTATTTTTCTTGTTCTCCAAAAGTGAAATATTTCCTGTTGCCCACACCTATCAAATCAGTCCAAGACTAATGACGTGTCAATCAGCTGCTAAAATATTTGCTGCTAGTATTAGTGGAGAGAAATGCTGCGCCTGCACGTAAGGCACATAAGGGAAATGAATGCAACACGATTATAGTAATCAGTCATTAGCGAACTAATTATTAATAATTATGTATAACAGGATATTGTAAAAATTAAGTTACAAAAATTTTTAAAAATATACATTTTATTGATTTTTTACAGAGAGGAAGAGAGGGGGATAGAGAGTTAGAAACATCAATGAGAGAGAATCATCAATCAGCTGCCTCCTGCACACCTCCTACTGGGGATGAACCCGCAACCAAGGTGCATGCCCTTGACCACAATCGAACCTGGGACCTTTCAGTCCGCAGGTTGACGCTCTATCCACTGAGCCAAACCGGTAATGGCACGAAATTTTTATTAAAAGTTTTCTTACATACAGTTATATTGGCTGGGCTGCAAACATACTCGTTCTAGGCATTGAGTTTGACATGCTTGCTCTAGACCAGTGGTCAGCAAACCGAGGCTTGCGAGCTATATGCGGCTCTTTGGCCCTTTGAGTGTAGCTCTTCCACAAAATACCACGTGCAGGTGCGCACATACAGTGCTATTGAAACTTTGTGGCCCGTGCGCAGAAGTTGGTTTTTGGCCTGGGTGTGTCTATTTTGAAGTGGTTCTAATGCTGAGCCACACTCAAGGGGCCAAAGAGCCGCCTGTGGCTCGAGAGCCGCGGTTTGCCAACCAATGCTCTCTAGACCAACAACATCAGATTACCTGGGAACTTGTTAGAAATGCAAATTCTTGTGCCCTACTCTAGATCTGAGTCAGACATTCTCTGGATGATACCCTGCTTTCCCCAGGAGTTTGTTATGACTCAAGTCACACTTGAATTTAGTCAAGAATTTTATTTACTCTTTTGAATTGTGGGTTCTTCACTTTTTTCATCATCTTGCTGAATAAACGGCACATTTGAGACTTGATGGTGTGCTTTGTCTGGGTAACAGAGGGAAGGGGAGATTCTTCCCTTTACGCCTGGTACATTCAATTTAACCAATAGTTCTTTAAAAAAAAAAAAAAATATATATATATATATATATTTTATTGATTTTTTTACAGAGAAGAAGGGAG